GAGAGAGAGGTCAAATAGAACGCAAAACAGAATACAACTCCTTCTGGCCTCAGCTCCTTTTCTGAAGTCAAGGCTCATTTCTCTAGACACAAAAATGACAACTCATCCCCACTGTGCCAGGTCTCAAGCTGAGCCGAGCCAAGCCAAGACTGGACTCTTTAGTCGTTTGACAGCATACTGCCAAGGAACAAAGCCCTGCCACAGAAAATACTGTTAGGCTTTGAACCACTGCAAAAAATGTTTTCTATTGAGATGGCTAATGGCATAAAACCTTTGTGCAGACAGCTTAATTAGCTGTAGTTAATTGAGCTAAACCCCAGCTGAGAGGTAGCAGATTGGCCTCTAATACCTGTGTCTGGTCACAAGAGTTTTACATCAAGTTAACTACCCCAAAGGCATCTTTTACAATGAAGACAAAACCTAAGCGATTCAGTAGGTGGCACTCTTTACTCTGAAATGGGATGAAGCCAGCATCCCCAAGACGGCACAAGAAGGCCTCTTGGATGCTAGAAATGCTGTTTCAGGTGAGAAGAACATTCTCTATAAAGTGCATTGAGCTGCTAAGATGGCAGGTATGATACAAATGCAAATCGGTAGCGCACAAAATCAGTACGACACTGCTCCAGGCCTCCAATACACAGACAACGTTTTTCATTAGCTGGGAAACATGTTCCCCATCCTCTCTTCCTCACTGGAAAAAAAGAAAAAGAAAGGAAGCTGTTCTGAACACAAGGGTTGTTGCTTTCCAAGCCCCTCTGCAGTCCAAGGCTCACAACTGGCTCCAGTCTCACTCTGCAGTCCCACATGAGGCCACTGCAGAGCTAGAAACATTGCCACAAGGTTAAAAGCATAGTCGCATCACATTTCTGCGACCAAACTTTATCATCAGGATGCAGTGCAGCAAACAACAATTAATCAAGACACTAAGGGTACATTTAGCATGAAGCTACCATCCCTTGGTTCATTATTTTAATCCTAGAAGAGTCCAAACTTTTTTCCAGCAACATTTTAATAATCATTCTTAGCACTACCTGCAAACTCTAAGCACCAACTCTGTAGTAAGCCCCAAAATTTGAACTGCCTAAAAACTGGAATCGTTAAACTTCATTTGCACAGACAAATCTGCTCAGAAATGCTCATCAGCTCCTTCTTCTCTTCACTGACAATGCCAAGCTTTCCAGGAATCATACCAGAGGACCCACAACTCCTTCAAGCTCTGCCACACTTACCACGTGACTCCAGGGACATCATTTAGCTGGTCTGTGCCTTAGCTTCTCTACCAAAACAATCCCACTGCCCCTCACTAGCACAATGCAAGAAACAGTTAATGCATGTTTGTAAAACACTATGAAAGCCCTGGATAGCAAGACACAATTTAGGAGGAATTAAAAATAGATATACCCTAAACTGCTGCAGCCTATCCAGCTGACAAGTAAGCAGCATCACATTACCATAAAGTGGGTTTTTAAATAATGCTCTATAATCATGGATGCAAAGAGCAGCAACCTCAACAGACCTCCAGAGTACTGATAAAGGAAAAAAGAAACCACTTTGAACAGCCATAAAGACAGATCACAGGTAACAGAGAAAGAAGAGTCAGAGACATCACTGCCTAAGTGCCAAGGCACCCGTCTGGGATTCAGGCCTTCCGGTCCCAGCTCTGCCCCTTCGGGCAAGTCAGCGTCTGTGCACCGTGGCTCCTGCACACTCAAACATGTGGATGAATGCACACGCGTGCACACACGTACAGACACACAGACACAGACATACATGCATAGACACGCATGGACACACACACATACATGCATGCACGCACGCACGCATGACCATGCACACCCCTTGTCTGCCCCAAACACAAGGTGCTTGGACAAAGGCTCCCTCACGATGCAGGCGGCCCGGCACCAGCACCGCTGGCTGCTCGGCAGGAGCGGAGGGGAAGGGTCCGGTGCGGGTGGGGGGGGGGGGGGGGGGG